GTTGCCGGACTAGAGAGGTTCAACCTGTCCTTGAAACATAACAATGAGCAGTTGTTACTTGGAGGGGATCGTTTCATGACTAAAGACTGAGGCGTCTTCTCCTTAAAAGGACCCAGCCTTGCTGCCTAGATTGCCCCAAGCAGATTCACAAACCCTGGGATGCAGGCGTCTACTGTGAGATTCTTCTAACATATTAGATTCAGCGTCTATTTTGCATTACCCAAGCACATTGGCAGCATTTCTGTGGGTGGGTGGAAAGATCCTAGCCACACACACAGACTGTAAAGTACTTGTGGGTCCTTGCCATAGAAGTGCAAGTTATTACCATTAGCGACTTAGTGACTGGAAAATGGGACTGACAGGCCTCGTCATGGAGGAAATGGAATTATTTTATAAACTAGCATTTTACATTTGATCTCCAGATGTGACGCAGCTGAGAGCTAATTAGTCTGTCAGATCTTAGCGGGCCTCGTTTCTCCCTCTGGGACTCTGTGCTGTGGTGCAAAATGCATCTCTTTAGTCCCCAGCCAGGGAATCTCCCCACGGAGCCAACACACGGCCCTGCTGGAATGACTGGCTAGTCTCTAACTGGCCTGTGAAATCAGCGAACCCCACACAAGTCGAAGCATTCAAGGGGAGCCGTCTTCAGTGGGAAGGGACATTGCAAACAGCTTCCCCTTACCTCTGTCCTGCACTCCCAGCTGAGGCCAGGAGCAAAGCCCTGGCATGTGGGTAGCAGCTGGGATCAAGGACATGGGGCTGGGAGAAGAGCCCCCAGCGCATGGGGCTGAAACTAAGCCCCCCGGCACACAGAACCAGCAGCGGGGACCCCAGGCTCAGATCCAGCAACATAACCCCCGGTGCACAGAGAGCAATCTGAGCCCTGTGACCCCTGTGGATATCATTAGTCTCTGTGGGAGGCACCTCTAGCCCTGGGGCTCCTGTTCAGTTGCCAAGCCCTGTTCAGTTCCCAGCCTCTGGAAGTCCTTTCTCCCTGCACTGAGATAATTGCAAGAGAGCATTGATTGTGGCTCTAAAAGCCAGTTTGCATATGAAAGGATCTGTGAGCTCTGGAATCTGTTGCCTCCCCTCCTCCACCCTGGCTTGCGCACAGAGACAGCAGCAGAACCCCCAGCGCACAGAGACAGCAGCAGAACCCCCGGCGCACAGAGACAGCAGCAGAACCCCCGGCGCACAGAGACAGCAGCAGAACCCCCGGCGCACAGAGACAGCAGCAGAACCCCCGGCGCACAGAGACAGCAGCAGAACCCCCGGCGCACAGAGACAGCAGCAGAACCCCCGGCGCACAGAGACAGCAGCAGAACCCCCGGCGCACCCCGGTGTGCAGAGCAGCAGCTGGGACCCTGACTGCAGAGCCAGCAGCAGAACCCCCGGCGCACAGGGAGGCAGCCGGGCTCCTGGGCACTAGGCCAGGAGCCCAAGGGTGCTGCAGCAGCCCCTTATCCTCGTTCCCGCACCCGTGGATTTCTTTCTTTTTTTTCTGTGCTGTGCCCTGATCAGCTTCAGAACTTCATCCGTAGACTCTGTACGGACTGTGAACTCTGAGGCTGTTACAGGAGATGCAGTTATAGTGCGGGGGGGAGGGGTCACTGATCCTACCATGCTAGCCAGAGTTGGGGGTGTCACAGGGAGGGGACGAGGGGTATGCTAATTCCCATCCAATCTGCACCATCTTTTGGGGGGAGACGCCACCCCCCGACTCCCCTTTAATCCATTCGATCCCAGGGGAGAACACCCTGGACTGGCTCAAAAACCTCAAACAGTGTCAGAGGCAAACAGTCTTCTCCCCGTCCCCCCATGACGTTGCCCCTGGGCGCAGCATTAACCGTTCCTGGGCCCTATTTATTTTCCATGCAAGCAGCAGACTTTAGACAATATGATTTGTGGGCAGTAACCCAATCTCCATGCTGGGATCGGCCACTCCTGGCTCTTAGCACATCTGGAATGCATGCAGCCCATTATGAGTATTGGCAACGGCACCGAGCGAGCGAGATGTGCCCACGAGAACAGCCGACTCAAACGCAACACACAGAACTTCCTTTATGCCAGGCTCCGGGATGTCCCTCCTACACAGCTCCCCTCCCCATCAATCCAACAACGTGCTCCCGGAAGAGGCCAAATACTAACAAGCGCTGATAACGAAATACTGGCAACTCAGACTGTGCTTGTTTAAAGAGGAGTAGCTGGCGCACCCCTCTAACCACACCCGGTGACATGCCCCAAAACTCTGCCACGCCTTGGCATCCCCACGGCCGGCCACCAGAGTGGAGAGAGGCTGCAGGCTGGCTGCCCGGGATTCAGGAAGGTTTCTAGTCTCCCCTGAGCCTTTTGGACAGCCAGGGTTCTCCCTGTGGAATCTCCTTTGCAAGAAAGAGCGAGCACTAACGTTCCATGCAGGCGGCAACGCCGGGCGCGCTCGCTTTCCATAATTTGGCTTGCTGTTATTATGCATCACAATGAAAAGATACAATCGACGGGGTTAACAATGGCCGTCCAAACACTGGGTCAAACGCCTATAAAACTGGACCCCCAAAATAGCTATTCAGAGTAGGATGTTAAAGTGTGTCACCCGACTAATCATGTACACTTTGAGCAGTCCTGCCTCACGCCAGCTCTGGGAGCCACCTGCCCGCGCTGCACCTCTGCATTTCCAATGTAGTCAGCGCCGCCAGGGCCTTGCTCCATTTCAAATGCAGAGACGCAGCGTCCCGACCAGCGCGCACTGAGTCCAGCAGGCAGGGCTGGCCATGGACCTGGGCTGCTGCTGGAGCCTTGGCCTGTCACAGGCACAACAGCCTTCCCTATCCCCCGACCCCACTGCTGGGGGGGAGCGAGTTGTCAATTCTCTAGTCGACTGCTCGCTAACATCCCTAATTCCGACTATTTGCTGGTTAAAAAGAAATGTAGGTCACCAAAAATAGCCATTCACCCAAAGCTTTGGGCAAGCTCCTGAAATTCCTCTCACCTCGGCCCACCCCTTAGCAACTTCCATGAATGATTAGGAGCTTATCCCTGGGAAATATCAAAGCAGCTGTGGGTAAAAGCTGTAATTACTCAGTTTGGACAGTCCTTCCTGGGGCTTGATTTGAAATCATACCAACAGCTCTGAAATCATGTAAAGCTGTGGCATTCAGCCTTCCAGACTGTACCCCTCGTCTTCCACACGCTCAGATTTCCTCTCCCTTTCAGATGACTTGCTTATAAAATCAGACATAAAAATATAAAAGTGTCACAGCACACTAGTACTGAAAATAGCTTCCTTTCTCATTTTTACCATATAATCATAAATCCATTTGTCATATAAATATTGTGCTTACATTGCAGTGTATAATACAGAGAGCAGTATAAACAAGCCATGGTATGAAGTTTTGTTTCTACTGGCTCTGCTAGTGCTTTGTATGTAGCCTGTTGTAAATTAGGCAAATATCTAAATGAGCTGCTGTACCCCCTGGAAGACCTCTGTGTACCCCAGGGGAACGTGTTCCCCTGGCTGGGTACCACGGATGTCCATAAAATCATGCTCCTGTACTTTTAGTACTGACAAGCCAAACAATTGATTATGAAAGTTCAATACAAAGCAGTTGTAGCGAGACACTGAACCACATCTGGGCAGTTGATCCAGGAGCAAGTGCGAACAAAATATTCCTCTGATATTGAAAAAGACGTTGATAAGAAAATAACCGAGACTAAGAGATGGGAGAGGGATTTGGACAAACCTATTGATCTGGATGAGTGGGTCTATACAGGAAAAGGGCTATTCGTCTTCACTTGTTTATACATTGCTGAATAGATGTATTTTGACTCCAGTTAAGAGCCATCCTGTTTTTGCTAGTAAAGAGGTGCTCAGTTGGAGGAGTTGCACATGTGGTTGCATCCAATGCCCAGGAATGTGCTGGTTTTAAGAAAAAAATTATTAAAGACATTTATGACAAAATGCTGGCATCCTCGAGTTCCCCTGACGTGTTTATTCAATGCTTCAGCAAAGGATCTGCGCTTTCAGCAGAGCAACACATTCACTTCCTTTGTCCTGTCAGCACATTGTGCATTACGGGAAATACCTTGCCACTGACTCCTCTGGAATTGTGGTGCAGTAAAGTATGGACTGTCCTTGTAATGGAAAAGTTTTCACACCAACTACGTACCCAAGAACCGTGCCAAAACGAGGAGAGGAATTTAGAAATGTGGTCATACTTCGCAGCATACTGAGCAGAGGGGAGCTCCCCAGCCAGCAAGCCAGACAGTGACAAACCATGTGGCATAAATCAAATGTCTAGCTCCCAGTAAGCTAGGAGTTTGCATCCAAACACCCAGAATACCCACACGATGCAGTTTTCTGCTAAGGCTGGCCAGTGGAGGTGTCCCACTGCCCACTACTAGACAGATTCAGAACTGCTCCGCTTACACTGCTAAGGGAGATGCACCACAGGGGGGTTTTGAAGCTTACTATCTACATAGGTATGTTCTTATAACTGTGCTGATCACTGTTGCTCCCCTCCCTAACTTTGCTGGTTATTCTCTGTTTTCTAGAAGGTGAGCAGTAAGCCCAGTTCTCACTGCCTCTCATAAAATGTCTTTCCTTTATGGGCCAGCAGCTCAGCTGCCATAAATCCATGAAGCTACCTTGATCTCTGCCCCTTGGGAATCTGGCCCCATGGTTTTGATGGATGTTTGGTTTTTTTGAGGCATTGCAAACCAAACAAGCCCGCGTAACTTTATGGCACGTGATTCCTGTTTACAGCCTGGACGGAGCCAGCAGTATTAGTAATGGCACATGGCAGCTTTCACCTGGAAGCTGCAGGTTCAAATCCTGCTCAGGTAACTATGTACTGGCTGCTCTGTGGGTTTTATGGGTTGATGGGGCTTCAGGCTATTTTAAAGCAGAGAAGTGTCTCTGCCACAGAATGGACCTCAGGCACTGATCAGTGTCCTTGTTAGCCTTCTTAGCAGTAAGGTGAATGTGATACGAAGACTGCACTTACCTTTAGATGTGATCGTACTTCTATAGTTGAGTGAAGCACAAGGCAGGGCAACAAACTCGCATTACTGCTGTATTGGATCTCTGGATTGCATTCTCCAGGACTTTCAGCCAGCATCATTCAGGAGCATTAAAATTCACACACACAAAAATGTACTTTTCCCATTCAACCAGTCAACTGTGGGCAAGTCTGTAGAGCTGTAATACTTCAGTTAGTTACTAATACATAGAAGAGTACTGCCTAAGCTTGCTGATGGATTCCTTCACAGCCTTAAAAGCTACAGGACTTAAAGTCTCTCAGGATGATCAGGCTGGCAGGTATAGATGCATTTCCCTGGTACTATTGGAAATGACATTTTTATGGTTCAAAGTGGAATTCAACTCTATTTTCATAGTACTTCTTCATTAAGTCACTTCGTTGTTTCCCGTCACTTGTCCTGTATAAAGAGTGGCGGAAGAGAAGACTGGTCATCTTGTTCGTTTGTAGCATGTTACCAAGTGCGATCACACTGCATATCGCATGAAGGTGAGCTGACAGCCATGTGCGGCACTACGTCCGAGGTGCCATTTCCGACAGACACCAGCCCACCACTGGGAACCCGCTGATGAGATGCAAGTCACTGCTCTCCAAGAAGGAAGCCAGGGCTCACACAAGAATGTGTCGGGGCACAACCAGCTGCCCACTGCGAGCAAGAGCCCACCTCCAATGGGCTGGAGCCAGCACTGCCGAGGTCTGACCCATCCCCTTTCGGTGCGAGCTTGGGCGAGAATCCCAGGCCAGGAGGCTCCGGCGCGGCCTGCAGCTCTAGGTGCACCCAGCTCCAGGCACTGCTCTGGAAAAGGCTTGCCTGGATGCTGGCCAGTTTCCCGCGGACCCCTGGGAGCTCTCGCAGGTTGTCGTGGGAGTGCCCCCTGCAACGGGGGAGGGGAGGCGAGCACAGCTCTTCCAGCTGCCCTGAGCTCCTCAACAGCCTCCCTGCCCTGCCCCCCCCCCCCCCCTGCCCTGCCCTCATTCCCCCCGCCGACAGAGGGCGCGCTGGGCGCAGACAGTTGTCTCGCGCCTCTCCCGCCGCCCTCAGGGAGGGCACAACGTCACTTCCTCTGTGCGGGAGCCGGAAGTGGCGGCGGAGGGAGCTTGGGTTGCCAAGGCCGGAGGATGGCGGCGGAGGGAGCTTGGGTTGCCAAGGCCGGAGGATGGCGGCGGAGGGAGCTTGGGTTGCCAAGGCCGGAGGATGGCGGCGGAGGGAGCTTGGGTTGCCAAGGCCGGAGGATGGCGGCGGAGGGAGCTTGGGTTGCCAAGGCCGGAGGATGGCGGCGGAGGGAGCTTGGGTTGCCAAGGCCGGAGGATGGCGGCGGAGGGAGCTTGGGTTGCCAAGGCCGGAGGATGGCGGCGGAGGGAGCTTGGGTTGCCAAGGCCGGAGGATGGCGGCGGAGGGAGCTTGGGTTGCCAAGGCCGGAGGATGGCGGCGGAGGGAGCTTGGGTTGCCAAGGCCGGAGGATGGCGGCGGAGGGAGCTTGGGTTGCCAAGGCCGGAGGATGGCGGCGGAGGGAGCTTGGGTTGCCAAGGCCGGAGGATGGCGGCGGAGGGAGCTTGGGTTGCCAAGGCCGGAGGATGGCGGCGGAGGGAGCTTGGGTTGCCAAGGCCGGAGGATGGCGGCGGAGGGAGCTTGGGTTGCCAAGGCCGGAGGATGGCGGCGGAGGGAGCTTGGGTTGCCAAGGCCGGAGGATGGCGGCGGAGGGAGCTTGGGTTGCCAAGGCCGGAGGATGGCGGCGGAGGGAGCTTGGGTTGCCAAGGCCGGAGGATGGCGGCGGAGGGAGCTTGGGTTGCCAAGGCCGGAGGATGGCGGCGGAGGGAGCTTGGGTTGCCAAGGCCGGAGGATGGCGGCGGAGGGAGCTTGGGTTGCCAAGGCCGGAGGATGGCGGCGGAGGGAGCTTGGGTTGCCAAGGCCGGAGGATGGCGGCGGAGGGAGCCCCCCCGGGCGGGGTGAGCGGTCGGGGTCCAGCCCCCAACGCAGCGTTTCCCTTCGGCTCCCCCGCGAGCTCGGACGAGGAGCCGGCCCCCACGGCCGCCGAGGAGCGGGCCGCCCAGAAGAGGGAGGAGCGGCTGCGGAAGTTCAGAGAGCTCCACATGAAGCGGGTAACGGGGGGCGGGGGCCGGCCCCGGGATGCTTAGCGCGTACGCGGGTAACTGGTCCCCCCCCCCCCGGGGCCGTTAACCAGGGGAACGGAAACGTTCACATTCCAGTAAGAGGTTGACGTTGTAGCCGGGATGTTACAGCGCGCGGGCACCGAGCCGAGCGCTTCTTTTGCTGCGGTCACATGAAGGGACCGTTAAAACTGAAAACGTCACCGGTCCTTAACGCTTGTAATTAAAATCCGGGCAAAAGGGGATTCTAATCATCCCGTTGCAAAAACAAAAATCTGTTCTAGCATGTAATTCCTCTGAGGTCTCTTCTGGAAAATCACATAGTGGGAAGGCAATGAGGGTTTTCTCACAGTAGATACGAATCCTTTTGTCAGAGGGCTTACAACAGTGTTACAAAATGTTCTGAACGTTCCTTTTCCATGTACCAAGGGCAATAGGAAAGAACACTGTGTGGATACAAAATTACAGCAGCATCTGTATCTGCAAAAATGAGTCATGGATATCTGCAGATGCAAAGCAGATAAACTGCAAATTTGTAGGGTTCTAGATACAAAATTTCTGTCTGCATCTGCAAAAAAATGAACTGCAGATATCCACATGCAAAGCCAGGATTATAAAGCAGGGCTCTATCAATGGGACACTTATCCAGCCACTCTTTGTTATACAAAACTCATCCACGGGTAGGTGGAAAGGAATAATTTCAACCTGTTCTAAAGTAACTGCTTTAATTTTATTTTTATTAATTTTTATTTCAAACATTAGCTTTAATAACTGGGGCATTTTCTGGGGGGAAATTCAGAATCTGTGCTGCAAGTGGGTGAACCCAGCTATTTAATAGGCTTCCTCTTTCTGACATTTATGATTGTATATTGCCATTCTCTGTGAATTCAGTGACAAATATTTTACTCCTAGAATGAAGCTCGCAAGCTAAATCACCAGGAAGTTGTAGAAGAAGATAAAAGGCTTAAGTTGCCAGCAAACTGGGAAGCAAAAAAGGCGCGACTAGAATGGGAACTGAAAGTTGAGGAAAAGAAGAAGGTATAATAGATGTAGATGTTGATTGCAACCATAACCTTCCATTTTTTAGCACTGTCCTGCAAAGATGTTACACTGTGTGCTGTCAGTAGTCTGTTACTTCAGTACAGCTACCAGTAGGTGCATTACATTCAAAATGTATCTAAGTGTCTCTCCTCTTCTCCCCCTCTGAATGGGAACTGAAAGTTGAGGAAAAGAAGAAGGTATAATAGATGTAGATGTTGATTGCAACCATAACCTTCCATTTTTTAGCACTGTCCTGCAAAGATGTTACACTGTGTGCTGTCAGTAGTCTGTTACTTCAGTACAGCTACCAGTAGGTGCATTACATTCAAAATGTATCTAAGTGTCTCTCCTCTTCTCCCCCTCTTCCCCTCCC